CGGGCTGGACTCCGCTTTGTCCATGGTGAAAGCCGATCCGGCGATCCACAGCGTGCAGTTGATGTATTTCCTCAGCGACCAGCACAGATGAGCTCTAGGCATGACGAAGCGGATATCTTCCTCTTTTGGAAGGCCAAACAAAGTATTTTCGCTTTCGCAACAAAACACACAGTGTCTTCACAACCTTCACGACATGGTGGCAGCAACAATACTACAGCGAGAATCAAAGTTACGCCTTCTTTCTTTGTGTGAACATTTGGGCGGCGTTATGCAAATCTTCCCACATAGTGAGGTAGATATGTGGGGGCGTGTTAGAACGAGCCGTTTTAGGTAGGTGTGGCTGACTCTTAACTTTTATAAAGAATATCTCTTTGGATTTGAGACTTTAGTCTTTGCAACTTTACAGATCTTCTTTATGCACCAAGAGCTTGTAACACTCCAAGGAGAAAGGAAAAAATGAAATTGCATCATATGACCCCTTTAATAAAACATATTATGCACAGGAAAGCAGATGAGCCCAGAATGTGAACGGAACGTGCAAAGTTTCACATGTTTTCTCCCCCCTAGAAAAAAATAAACATTATAATGAAAACTCTTAACGTGGCTTAAAGAATTAGCACATTGCTTGCCTGTACATAGTATACATTTTTAATAAATTATATATAAATATAAAATATATACACAATGTGTACGCTTTCGCTGCTAGAGGTCGCATTTTCAAAACAACAACTAAGGCGAAGCTTGATGACGCTCTGAAGGAGAGTGGAATCAAAGCCACTAGAAGGCAAGCCTGCAACCTTTAGCCAAAAAAGCGTAATGGCTAATGCTAACACTTACAGTTTGCCAGTATGTGGGAAAGGAGACCAGAGGCCGTTTTTCTGAATGGATGTCAATGGAGGAGAGGCTTCACTACGCTGAATAAACAGCTTTTTAGAGGAAACAGCTTATCATTTAATAAATCGACAGCCTATCAGCTAATCTCCAACATGTTTTACACTAAGCAATACTTTTGGATTGGACTATTTTTAGAGTTTACACCGGGAAAAAAAATGCCGTTTTATAAGAGAAGTCACTGACTTTTTTTGCGACAGGTGAGATACAGCTTACGGCATTCTCATTCATTCCTATGGTATCCATAAACGGCGATTGAGTGACGCACAACTCCGACTGAAATTCAATGACGTCAAGGCTGTACTGTTATTGGTTATTTATTTCTCCCCCATAGAACTGTAGCTTAAAGTCTCAACTGGTTTTGCGAGCAAACGCAATTATCTTTGCGAGAGAACAAAAAAAGCTTTGAAAAATATTTTTTCCTCCCACCCCGTATTGTTCCCACCAACATGTCCCTTTAGGGGTTCCGTAGGATAGGCTACATACAAATAGGGTGATATTAAATGATTTAACCCGTGATATAAGATTTTGGCCATATTGCCCATCTAAGTAAGTCATCCCACTATCACAGGCACGCCATGTAGGCTACACTTCTTGTATTTCGTTTGGGCACCACAAGGTGTTGCTATTCCTGAGGTAAAACACGCCCTCACATACAAAGAAATGTATAAATGTGGAAATAAATAAATATAGAAATAAATACGTAAATAAATACATAAATGTTGAAATAAATAAATGTATAAATAAATAAAAGAAAAAAAATGTGAAAAAAATAAAAATATACATAAATAAGGAAATAAAAGTATAAATATTATTTTAGCTTTTTTTTTTTTTACTTTTCTTTGTATGTTTATTTATTTATTTATTTATGCTTTTTTACATTTATTTGTATGGTTATTTATGTATTTATTTATTTATTTTTTATTTTGTCAGGTTTGGCATTCCATGCAGTTTCAGATTTGTATGCTATAATCTATGGCAGGGGTATTGATACTTATTTCCTGTGCAAAGGGTTGTTACCCAGTCATGACAGTGGGGGTTTACACTAAAGTCTTGAAAGAAAAGAAGCACAATAACAGCACCTTTAAATGTATTACTAAAATATGACTACTGTATGCATGATATTTACATTATACATTATAAGTAAACCTCTGGGAAAATAATACAATAAAAAGTTATGTCAGGACCCTTTTAATGTCCCTTCAAGGTGATATGAATGTATATTTTGCACCGGACTTTACCCTTCGCATCTGTAGAACTAACACGTTTCACACTAGCCTTAAGGCTTTCAATCATAAAAAAGTGCATCTCTCTGCACAAGTAAAATATGTACTAAATGTTACCACAGAAACACAGGAAGCATGCTAAATGAACTGATATCTGGAATTAATTAGGTTACCTTTGATAGTGGTAAAAAGGAACCAAATTTCATCACATATCAGGTAGCCAATGCACAGAAATGTGACAGACTATATAACTGGGGTTAAATACAACTTAAGCTGCATTGACAAGATCTGTTGCATGCTGTTGAAAATGTTATTTAAGCTCTAAAGTTGTCCAAATTGTCATTGTGAGGTGGGACTACTTTTCTTGATATGATAACCAGAATAATTCTGATGGGTGGAGCTATTTTTAAATGTAAACAATGTTTTATGGCTAGTTACAGCAGAGACCGTCTTCCAGGTGAAGATAACAATCTCTAGCTAAAATGTGTTGAAAACATGGAATTCGGAAACGGGTAACCCAAAGGCTGCTGTGCCTGACTGTAAGTGAATAAAGGAGATTTTATATGATTACATCATGTCTCTTCCTGGACTTTTTTAGTGGATATCAAGCAAAAGTGGTCATGTCACTTAAATTTGAAGTTAAAATTGGACAGGCAGCATCGGTAAACTGCAAGCCACGGATACAGTTAGAGCTTAAGTCTTATTTTACCCTGTAATATACATTTAACTGAATAAGTAACTTAGAATCTGTCAATAGTGGTTTGTTCATTCAAACACACAAGCGCATCTCCTTTAATCTCAAATATTTCCCAATTTCAATGGGAACAAAGGACCTTTGAGGTATTTTAAAACATTTCCCTGCAAAATAGTCAAAACATTTGGACAGGCTACAAAGAATAGCAACATAGCATAGTTCTGGAGGGGTGTCTTCAGTTCTGGTCCTGGTTACAGCAGAATTGGAAAAGGAAATGTTAGGTTCATGGCCAAAATATAGGGGGACAAGGGTTTGAGCAGAAGATACAGCAGCAGATATCAGCTGGATGAGAGGAAATGCCAGATTTTGGAAAGAAGGATTATGTGGGACAAGTGAGAAAAATGTAGAATGTCACAAAGCGGTGTCTCTCACTTACCATTTGTGATGCCAGGAGATAGATGGTCTCTCTCATGATGCCTAGACCTGGAAGCATCTTGCTCCCAGCCCCCCTGCTGACCTGTTGGTGGTCCCTGGCCCTCCAACATGTTCACAATGTCCATACGGTCAATGCTCTTGAGGGCCATGTACAGGCTGTCCACTACAGTGGTGAGAGACACACAGATGGTGGAGAAATGGAGAAGGGGAAGACAGGGTAGTTGGACATAAAGGATGAGGACAGAGACACACCACTGACAAAACCAAAGGATTTCAAGACACTATTACATTTCAGGTCTTGGAGTCTCTACTAATGATCTGATGACCTGAATCAAGTGTGTTTGATTAGGGAGAAATACAAAGACTCCCTCCGAAATCACATACCCTCTTGAGAAGGTACTTTTTTGAATAAGTAATTACTTTGCAAACCGCAAAAAGAGTCTGTTATATATTGTATGAATGTGTGTAGTATGAATGTAATCTGGACGTACTACAGTCACCATTGTCACATGACCTACCAGCGTTTTGTTGTTTCACGTCATTTGATGGGATAGCCTGGGGCTTCATGGGATAGTAAAGTGTCTATCGTTTGCACACTTCAGAATCATGCTGGAAGTAGTAGGTCATCTAGGTACTTTTTGCCTACTCTTTTATGCCTTCTGTGAATTCTGACATATTTATTTTGTCATGTGCTGTTTTTCACCTACTATATAGTAAGGAAGTATGCGATTTCAGATGCAGCCCTTATTGTGCACTGTTAAGGAAGTTCCAGGGACAGTGACCCACTGTTCCTGTCGGAAGCAAGAAGTCCACACCTGGTGCAAGTCCTTCCTCTCAATATGATTGCCACAAGCATTTGGGCAAGGCCGTGTTGTGCAGCATGCTTTGTGTGCAGTGGCACTCATTTTTTATTCTAGCTAGAGCACAGTGCTGTGGCAAGCTGAAGTGGCTGAGGCACCTACTCAAAACAATTTTTGTTTCATGCAACTTTCCAATAACTTGTTGGCTAGCCGCGACTGAAGTAATGGACCGAAATGGAAGTAGTTCACAAACATCACAACTTTCTGGTAGCTAAAATGAGCTTGAAGAGACAGTCCTGAAGAGAGAAATTCTGAATGAGAATTGGGCTGCTGGCCAGCTTTATACGGAAGCGGGCAATTCTCACTGCCTAAAGGCATGCTTAAAGATCTTCAAGTGCAGTCGTGCAATGACACAACTCCCATAGAGTAGTCTGTATGGAAATGACTTGACGGATAGAGAACTGACAAACCATTGTCCTGCTCAGATCTCAGCCACAGATCCTTTTCCTCAGAAAAACACAGATCACAAAAGCAGATTGTTCTCCATGGTGATTGTGTAGCCAAGCATTTTTCTGGGGTTCTCCTACATTCATAAATATGATAAAATATTTTTTTTAGATAGAAGATAGAACATCCCGTGTTTATTGAATGTATATAATTTTCTCACTGAAGCTGTGCATGAACTTATGATCGTAACTAGGATTAATTACAAGCTAATCACTGAGATTTCAGCAAAAACAGTCAACGGATGTAACATCCCAATCAAAATAGAGTCGACGAATGGGGCGCAGCCTTAAGGTAACATGAAACCCTCTTATTTCAATAATGGTTATTTCTACATCAGATTTAAAAGGGGTTCAGAATTGGGGACGTGGGAAGCCGTGGAAGGTGGGAAGATAGAGGGGTGGTGAGAGGGAAAAGACTGCATGATACGGGGAAGGCCTGAAGCGCAGCAAGACAAAAGTTTTGATACCTTTTTTGAATCCTGCAGCACTGCAAGTTAAAGGCATGCAACAAATATGGCGGCATGTTCATACAGTTACGTCACATGAGACAGATTAATAAGATTATATTTGCTCGCAAATAATTTAGGTATTCTTAGGATCATAGTGAATGGACACTATGGCACTCACTTTTGGCTCTCTTCCCCTCTCGAGCGGCCCACAGGTTGAGCAGTGTTGAGCTCTGCTCTAAAAGGGAGTTGGGATTCTCCACACGGATCTTATTTATTTCATCTACATTAAACTGCAGTTCACGTCCCAACTCTGCACAGGAATTAGATATGATACATTATGTTTCTTCACTATTAAGTGACTCATTTCAGACTAAATCATAATTTACTGAAGTATAAGTGCTAATTTTGTGCCACTCAAAAACATTATTGTACTAATAAATTGACAAGTCAATAATCAAACAAATATAAATTGTATAAATTGGTTGATACACAAATACATAAAGCAACAATTTTGAAAGCACTGCATATTTATTTTAATTTTTTCTTCATCGATTTATGCTGTAGTGCTGTCTTTATGCTCTAGTGTTGCACCAGTGCATCCCTAGCCACTTTTCTTGAAAAATATGAAAGTTTAAAAACATGTTCAAATTTGCATATGTAAATTATGTGTAGACAGGAGAGGGAGTATTGACAAAAACTGCAGGCAATGGAATTGCAGTGAAATAAGATTAATGTGCATTTATTTGCATATATGATATGAAAATATATGACATGATCTGACATGCCTCTTTCAAATTCTCACATCATTGCCACCTTTTGTACAACTAAACTGACTATAAAGTGGGTATAGAAAAGAATCACATTTTGTTGCTTTGCAGCCTGAAATGAAGACGGACAAAGTTTTTGTTTTATCCAGCTGTATTATCCAGCTGTATTGTATTTTACTACTTATAACATCCAAGTGAAAGATATAACATCAACATGTCAGACAAAATTATAATAATAATAAAAAAATACAAAAAAACAGAATCACTGATATTTTGTTGAACCACCTTTTGCTTTAGTTACAGCCTTTAGTTTGTTGGGATTTGTCTCTACTAACTTTGCTTAGACTTTGCAATATTTGCCCACTCTTCTTTGCAGAACTGCTCAAGTTCAGTTCAATTTGGGGGGGTGATCCTTTTTCCAACTCAGTGATTCCGGATTTTTATTTTATTTTTATTATTTTTTTATTTTTTTACAACTGGATAAAACAAAAACTGTGTTCATCTTCATTTCAGGCTGCAAAGCAACAAAATGTGATTATTTTAAAGGGGGTGATTCTTTTCTATACCCACTGTATACACACACACACACATATTTGACCTTATTCTTCTTTTTTGCTATTATTATTCAAAACAATCTGTTTAAATCTGTATATTCCTGTGTATAAGTTTTCAGTTAATAATGACATTGAATTCAGCAAGTCTTTAAATAATCAATTCATCCGCTTTAATACAATAATTAGAACCAATAACTGTTTTCAATTGATTATTGATTTGTCAATTAATTCATCAATTGATTATTACATTGCATGAATGGGCCCCCATATGAAGTCCCTAGCATGAAAAGGTTTAGCTTGTGCAAAATGATCTTTTGTAAAGCCAAAGAATTAAGCCAAAGGTCAATATTTATTCTCATCTGCACATGCTAGACAATGTGAAATGTTCTTGAGCTTTGGTAAATTTGGACCTTAAAGTAAATGACTTGTCAAAACATTTTGTATTCTGTACGTATGTGGCAGAGAAATAAGATCCAGATATGCCTTGACAAGACATGAGCAGTTAAGCATTATGCTTGGTAAGCGAAAGAAGTGCATCCAAACCCACACACTCACCAGCCCAGCTCAGGCCTAGCTGTTCAGCTATTAAAGCCATCTTTAACTCCGTCCTTTCCATGGCGCTCAGTGATGCTGCAGAAACCAGACCATCATTGGCTCAAGAGTTCAGCAATCTGATGCTGCAGCTCACATCTTATTCAAAGCAGGGTCAGGCAAAGGTTGAATGAGATTTGGGGGCTTAACATGCAGGAGATGTCAGTGTGGGAGCAATCTTACCCATGGCTGGTTCATTTAGAGCACTGTATCTTTCCCTCAGAGCCAAAGGAGTCAGAGTTCTCCTTCGCTCATCACTTCCTATAATCTATATAAAGAAATAAACACACTGTTAGAGAACACTTGTGGATTTAACTCTTTATGTGAGCATCTGTTTGTGTAGGAAATGTGAGAACAATGATTATCAACATTTGCCGCATTACCTTAATGCATGGCGGCATGGTAACGTTGAGGTTGCACAACACATGCTGACTATCTTCGTATTTGGTTGATTTGCGCAAGAAAGACAAGAAGCCAGAGGGATCTTTACTGCTGTCCCTCACCTGGGGAAATAGAAAGAGGTGGATATACCAACAACATGTGATGATACGGTGATGCTCATTAATATTAAATGGCAAAGAAAACTATGCATCATGCAGTGCCTTCTTTCTGGCAATATAGTCATGATTTTTTTTCGGCACCCATTCACTGCAGAGGATCCATTGGTGAGCAAGTGATGCAATGCTACATTTCTCCAAATCTGATGAAGAAACAAACTCATCTTGAGGGTGAGTAAATTATCTGCAAATTTGACCTATTCTTTTAACCACTGAAACACTCACGTAATAACCAATACAAATGATCTAAACCTACATTTTTATGACCTAGTTCACAATGGCTGAAAGAATCTAATTTGGAGGAAATAACAAGGAAACATGTAAAGTTACTGTAAAAGGTAAAAACTGGCTGTGATGACTTTACCTTGACAGACACAGGCAGTCTGTTGTCTCTGAAGGCTTGGAAGTTGAAACAGCGGGGCTGCTGGGCCGCCTTCCTAATGGGAACCAAGTTTCCTGAACACTCCAAATACAGCGGCATTCCCTCCATGACCTACAGAACAAACGGCAGCCAGTAGATTTAGGCTTACAGCAGATGCAGCCTAAATGTAACATTTATCAATCACATTTGATAATAGCAAAGTCAACATGAAACATCATTAGCAACACATTTACTTCTGTAATGTCACATATTTAAGAATATTCAAAGAGATTAAAAATTGTTTGTTTGAGTTTGATTGGATTGTGAAATGTGGGTGTTTTATTCCAGAAAGTAGCCAGACCTCAAATGCAAGTTTGTGGTGGATTATGGAGAGTTCATTTCTATTTCAAACCGACTTTAATGGCACTTCTTTCCCTGTTTTTTGAGATGCTGTTTAAGGTTTAAATGCAAATGATACTTTATTGTAGAAATAATGCCAGTTGCTGTAATCACATGGACAAAGACACAATTGATGCATTATTATGTACTGTCTATATGAAGTATGTAACACACTATATCATATGACCTCAATGTCTCTGCTGCGAGCCACTTCACTGAAGTTCTCGTGCTGCTCCAGGGTTTTGTCAATTTTGTCGTCAGTCATGCAATAACAGCGGAGTCGACCCTCTCGTGCTTCATTCATCTTTGCAAAAACTACAAACTTGGCCATGTACGGCACGGCTGATAGCTCGCGGTACAGGAGGTTGGCAAAGGACACGGCCTCTGCGGTCCGAGGACAGTCTGTCAGCCAGAAACTGTGGGAGAGCAAAACCGATTTTGAGTCAGATTTTTAATATGAACAAGGTTGAATAATAAAACACTGTTGTGAAGACGAAACCCATATTTCAACTTCTGAAATAAACTAACGTGATGTAGAGGTTATGGTACTTACCGGGCAGAGACATTAGTGGTGAAATTGGCACAATCATTGGCATATAGGAGTTTGGTGGTACCAGTTATATCTTCCCACTGGGCAGGAGCCGTGCCACCTATGAAATGTGGAGAAGTGCGGTTGAAAATAAATATTCCATAAACATGTCTTTATTTTATTAAATAAACCCTTAAAGGAGCCTTGCTTAGGAGCCCTATTTGATCATTCTGGGTAATTCAGTTTTAAAATGATGATAAATTAATATTTTTTTTAACCTTAGAAACCTAATCCTTGCATTGATTCACTCTTGCACGTTTGTTGAGCAGCGCAATTTCTATGACACTAGCGGCCAAAACCAAATGGAATTGCAAAAATATTTTGACAATTTTTTTTTCTTTTTTCAACATTTTCTAAAGACGTTTCTATCATATTCTAGTTTTTAGAAATGGCTCTGCTACCTCCTAAGTAGATTTTTCGCTAATTTTAATATCTTCTAGACAAAAATCTTGCCTGATTGTTTAGAAAAGTAACAGCACACTCTCTTCAAGAAGCCTTATGATTTGAGCTGTCATTCATCTCTAAAAATGATCATTTTAAACGCCAAAGCCTCATTATTTACTAGTCCAACTATGAATGGCTTCCTTACAGTAGTTGTGCACATTAAACTGGGATAAGAGAAAGCATTTTAACATTAAAAATGACACTACATCACCTTTACATTAGTTCCTATTTCCTGAACATATATTTGTGATTACCTTTTTTACATTTGTTTCATTATGCTAAAAATAAATAAAATAATATAAATCCATTTACAGTCAGTATTTTTGTCTTTTCCAGTTAAAAACCTCTAAACACCCTTAAAATTAGGTAACTGAGAAGCAAAATTGTAATGCATTTGCAACATTAACATTATTTCTGTCATGACAACTCTCGGAGGGATTGGCATATGGTAATGTACATGACAATGTTAATGTATTTGGTCTTGGCGGAATAGATCTGCTACGCTGCTGCTGCGGCAGAGCAAGTACCGTGACCTATTATAGCATTTATTAATGTTGAATTAAATTTTATTTCTGTATTTTTACTTTTCATTTTAATTTAAGTAATTTAGTTATGTGTTTTTGTCATTTTCATATATGTTTTAAAAATATTTATATTTAGCTTTATTTGTATTTCAGTTTCAGTATTTTTAGTACTTAAACGTTCGGTTAGTTTCTAGTTTTCATTTCAAGTTTTCTATTTTCTTTTATTTCAGCTTTATTCCAATTGTTTTAGTTAACAATAACACTTATTTGCAATTACATAAATCTGAAAGGAGAAAGAAATATTTTCAAATAAGATAAGAAAACTAAACTTTAAGTATGCTTCGAGCAAATTTATCTCGTTTAAATGATCATTTAGATTGATTAGATATTTTCACCTGGAAATAATGATGCAGAAAAAGACTTTTTGCAGCGTAAAACTGTTTGGCTGATTTTTACCGATGACGCTGCAGAGCAGGCGGAGGCTGGTGGTGTCGCCCTCGCCTGCGTCCCGCGGACTCTCCATCCAGGAGGGAGGCAGTGGGATCCTCAGGCCGATGGGACGGTGAAACTTGCGCCGACGAGGCTCTACTGTCACCACAGGGCCAAACGTGGCTTGGTTCCCCAGAAGTTTAGCCAGCAGCTCATCAGGGACTGGCTGGGCCTGAGTGCCGAGGATGGAGCGGGAGAAGAGACCGTAACAGAAGGGTAGAACGCAAAGTAAAAGACAGAGGTGGGGAAGAGCAAAGGTGAAAGAGAAGAAGATGGGATGAGAGTCAGAAGAAATAGATTTGGTAGTGTGAGCAATGGTGCATTCACATATGAATGCATGACAGAATGATTTAGTTCGGATTTTCATGAGAGAAATCAGGGAAAAGAATAGACAGAAAAGCTCTCGATATATTTCCATTTTCTAATTATTGCACAATGTAATTCAAGACACCAAATTTAGCTTGTCAATCAGTCTTATTTATTAATGGAAAAAAGAGTCACAAACATTATTGAACCAAAGCTGGTGCAAAATTAATTCACTTGCAGTAGAAACTAAAGACACAGACACAACAAAATGACCCTGTATCGTTGTAAAGCTTTTAAAGATCTTTGAGTGTGTAATTCATTATAATCATTGTGTTATTTGTTTACAAGGAATTACAATATGAAATCTTGAGTCAGGTGTGCTATATTGCTGATTCCTAAATGTTTATTTGACTACATCACATTTAAAGCATTCAAATCCTTGGCCAGCTGTCATATTTTAAAGAATTATAAATAAAATGTACATTTGTAAATCTGTTTAAGTACTAAGCATTTGTTGCTGAGAAACCTGCGACAAATCTTCCAAGAATAATGAGAAGCATCTCAAAGAAATCTGAAAGATACTTCTGTGTGTTATTGCGGCAAAATATATGAACTATTAAAATCGATTTCATTTTATGCCACCTTACAATAACTGACTTCCTGATGTCCAGTGTTTTTAAACAACACAGATTTGTAAATGAATTATTTATAATTCAGCACAATGAGAACTGATCAAGTTTGTCAATACATTTAGATGATTAGATTATTAGGTCACTTTTCACAAAGAAAAAAAAGCAAAAATGAAGCAAAACAGAAGAATATATAATATAACAAATGACAAATGATTAAACAAACGATGGGTTAAAAACAAGTAAAAAAACAGCTTTGGTATGAGCAAGAAAACAGAAATAAACACATGCGTTGAGTCCTGCACAATCATTTCATTCTAAGTTCTAGGTTTTGACATAAAAAAAAAAAAAGATTTTGTGTATCTGATAAAGTTTTTAAAAAATCTAATAAAAAAATTCTAAAGGTAGTACAGTAACTCATTAAGATGCTTTATCTAATGAAAGTTGCTTTTATAAGGTGCTTCAGATATTTGTAATAGTACAGAAAATGTTCATCATCCAACTCTTTAATTTTATTGAGCTTCAGCTTCCTTTCATGCATTTTAACCTCTTCAACTTACAATTCCATCAATCAAAACCTGCCATTACCTTGATACATTCAGACAAAACTTTCATCTATTCTCAACTTTTGCTATGTTTTTATGCCCTACTTTTTATAGCACTGTAAACGTGTCTGTATATGTTCATCTGTAGAAATAACCTATGTGTTATCTAAGCAGGAAGTAGAAAGATCCCATACCATGCCATACTATATCAGACTTCATCATTCATTTTTACCATCATCAAACTCAACTTACAAAATCACATTCATTCACATTCCAAAGGAACAATGTTAAAATTGCTGATCGCAAATAGAATTCATTTTGAGTGATGAAAGATGAGATGTTTCGTCATGTTTGGTGTCTCATGACCAAACAGGAAAACAATGACAAAAAAATCTAAAAGCTGTCAGATACATTATGGTAATATGCAGGAGATAAGCTTCCTCCATTTTCCATCACTTCTTCCTCCTCATCATTCTCCCATCTCACCTGCAGTCCGAGACGGACACGCTTGGTGACGGCTGTCTCAGGAAAACTGGCCTGGACCATGGGCACCAGCTTACTGGCGAGAAAACCCCCTTCTGGGCCAATCAGATCGTTCTCCTGCTGGATGCGGGACACCACCGCAAAGTAGAGCGGGAAGTCGGTCGAGATGATGCGCCTGATCCTTTTCTTCCCAAGTTCCTCCTGACTTTCAAGATCTAAAGTGCACAGCCAACAGAGAAAAGACAAAATTATCACAGTTGACCGGCTACACAGACATCAGAAATACTGTACATTTATAGACATTACAAAGCCTGTTAAAGGAATAGTTGACAAAAAATTGAAAATGTGCTGAAAATGTGCTCATCCTCAGGCCATCCAAGATGTAGATGAGTTTGTTTCTTCATCAGATTTGGAGAAATGTAGCATTGCATCACTTGCTCAGCAGTGGATCCTCTGCAGTGAATGGGTGCCGTCAGAATGAGAGTCATAATGGATTTGTTTCTTACAAACACGCATTTTTGTCTTCTCAAGACATTAACTGATGGACTGGAGTGGTGTGGATTTCTTGTGGATTATTGTGATGTTTTTATCAGCTGTTTGGACTCTCATTCTGACGGCACCCATTCACTGCAGAGCATCCATTGCTGAGACACTGATGCAATGCTACATTTCTCCAAATCTGATGAAGAAACATCTAATCTATTTCTTGGATAGCCTGAGGGTGAGGACATTTTTAGCAAATTTTAATTTTTTGGGTGAACTATTGCTTTAAGAACATGTCTGAGAGATCAAAAGAAAACAAATATATTATATTTTACATACAGAAATTTTAACCCCCGCCAAATTCTCATTCTTGTAATATAAATTATATAATTTTTATTGGTTACACTTTATTTTACCGTGTCCTTGTTACGGTGTAATTTTACATTTAAGTACGGAGTAATATTAATTAACTACATGTACGTATATGGTTGGGTTAGGATTAGAGTTCATGGCATTTTTGCAAAAGTTGCTTAAATATCTTAATTTAACTACGGCCTAGTCCTGGCTTAAGCTAAGCCCCGTTTGTGAAACCGGGCCTACATGTATTAACTGGATGGTTAGGGTTAGGATGAGAAAAAAATATTACTGGTGTGTATCTTGAGACAAAACAATGGCACTGAGATATTTTAAGATATGTCAGAGCAAGTTTCTTTCAGTTAAAACAGCTCAGACATGCATTTTAGTCTAGGCTTAAGCATTGTCTCTGAAACCGGGGAATGTTTTACCGTACTATTTTTAATCCTGATTAAATAGCATTTTATTATTCTGAGTAATTAATAATTGTTATTTATATATAGTACATCATTAGAATTATCCTGCATGTAATTGAATTGAATTTATTCAGATTTTATTTTATTACCCAGGCATGCTGATTCACATTACTTGTGTTTTTACAGTAAAGAGACTCATCAGGGAGAAAAATTAGAATCTTTTTCTTTCTTTTGAAACAGGACCTACTTCAAAATCTATAATAGATAAGAAGCTTATTCTATAATTTAACCGCAAATGCTCCTTATACTGTAATTTGCCAATACAGCAAGAATTAGTACACACCTTCATCCATGCCATTGAGGATGGTCTCCAGGACCTCGTCACCATAACGATTGCGATGTTCCTTCCAGACCGATCCGTTCTCACTTCTCAAGACCACGAGCTCACGATCTCCCCGACCGAGTGCCGCGAAATGGGGAATCTCCACAATCACAGGCCTTCAGGAGTAATGTGAGCCGGGTCAGTCTGCGATTTCAGTTCGTCAAAACGTATTCTGGTTTTCTAGCAAAACTGGTTTCCTCACCCTAAGAACTGCATGCCAGCTGGACCAAGAGAGATGATACGGCTGGCAAGACCCTCACCCTCCACCAGAGGAGGTGGTGTGGCAAGTTTCTGCGGCTTCACCAGGCGGCAGGTGATGCGTGTTGGAGCGGCACAGGTGCGAGGAGGAATGATGACACGCAGGCCGTTATGTCTGCTGCCTCTCATCGAGCCGCCACGAGCATCCACCATGAAGCTCACAAGGAAACTGCAGAACCATGAGCACAAAGACCATGCACAATTCATTCATGATATTTCAATTTCAAGCCAGAATGTGCACAATATTTCAGGTAGAGGCAGAAAACTCACCCGGTGTGGATGGGGCTCGCTACCGGACTGACATTGTCTGACGTCTCTGTGGCCGGACTGCTGGGGATCAGCGAATCCTCATCGTACTCCTTGGGCAGAGGAAGTGGGGTGTGCTGCTGTATATGTAGAAAAGTAGATACTAACACAAACAAAAATATACACATATACACTGTACAAAGTGAACATGTGCAGTTCTTACCTTACGGAGTTATTTTAAGTAATCTGATCTGATTTGATTTGAATTTTCATTTGTGTAATTCTTTTGTGTGAATTTTTTTTTTTTTTTTTATCATTTTTTTAATATTTAATTGTAATTTAATTTAATTGACATAGATTAATATGTAGTGATAAAGTGTACATCCACAAAAATACAACATTGTTATAAACACCTGTAGTCTATTATTACACTTATAAGCATTTGGTTTTATAGTTATTAAAGCCTTTTTCAAAAAATGACAAAAACAATAATAAAAATTAGACAATAGTAAAAATATATATAAAATCTGCATATGGTTAATAGCCCTTAAAAAGTGTTTTGGCGGCAATATGGTACAATAAGACTTTCAGATAGTAATCCCATTGTATATCTACAGACTACACTACCATGGTACAAGTAATAATAATAATAATAATAATAATAATAATAAATCGTATAGGTATGGTATTACAACCCCAATTCCACAAAAGTTGGGACATTTTGTGAAATGCCATAAAATCAAGAATATGTGATTCGTTCATTCTCTTTAACCTTTATTTGACTAAAGTACAAAGAAAAAAATCCAATGTTTTTCACTGGCCAACTTAATTTTATTTAGTAAATATGAACAAATTTTGATTTTGATGGCTGCAACACACTCCAAAAAAGTTGGGACAGAGTCATGTTTACCACTGTGTCACATCAGCTGTCCTTTTAATTACAGTGTTTAATTGTTTGAGAATTGAGGATACTAATTGTTCAAGTTTTGCAAGCAAAATTTCCGTCCAATCTCGCTTGAGACAAGACTTCAGCTGCTCAGAAATCAGCTGATTCTCCTTTTCATGACTGGTCATACATTTTCAATAAGAGACAGTTGGTCAGTGAAAACGTTGGAAATCTTTTCTTTGTGCTTTTGTCAATTACATAAAAGTGAAAGAGAATTAACAATTGATTTTATTGCATTTCACAAAACATCCCAACTGTTCTGGAATTGGGGTTGTATATGGCAATCCAAGGTACTTCAAAGAATGTTATGATATGGAGTCATATTATTTTAGGTGTCTACTATGTACAATAAATAAATATATACAACATACACTACCCGTTCAAAAGTTTTGGGGTCGTTAAGATTTGTAAATGTTTTTGAAAGAAGTCTCTTCTGCTCATCAAGGCTGCATTTATGTAATCAAAGATACATACAGTAAAAACAGTAATATTGTGAAGTATTACAATTTAAAATAGCTGTTTTCTATGTGAATATATGTGAATTTTCTGCATCATTCCTCCAGTCTTCAGTGTCACATGATCTTCAGAAATCATTCTAATATGCTGATTTGCTGCTCAAGAAACATTTCTGATTATTATCAATGCTGAAAACCGCTGCTGCTTCATATTTTTGTGGAAACCGTGCTGCATTTTTTTTCAGGATTTTTTGATGAATAGAACAGCATTTATTCAAAATAGAAATCTTCAGTGACATTTTAAATCTCTCTACTGTCACATATGTGACCTTGGAGCACAAAACCAGTCATAAGTGCCAATTTTTCGAAATTGAGATTTATACATCATCTGAAAGCTGAATAAATAAGCTTTCCATTGATGTATGGTTTGTTAGGATAATATTTGACCGATATACAACTATTTGAAAATCTGGAATCTGAGGGTGCAAAAAAATCTAAATATTGAGAAAATCATCTTTAAAGTTGTTCAAATGAAGTTCTTAGCAATGTATATTACTAATCAAAAATTAAGTTTTAATATATTAACAGTAGGACATTTACAAAATATTTTAATGGAACATGATCTTTACTTAATATCCTAATGATTTTTGGTATAAAAGAAAATCAATAATTTTGACCCATACAATGTATTGTTGGCTATTGCTACAAATATACCCCAGCGACTTAAGACTGCTTTTGTGCTCCAGGCTCACATTTGATCAATTTAATGTGTCCTTGCTGAATAAAAGTATATAAAAAAATCTGTGACCCCAAACTTTTGAAATTTTAAAACGTAAGTATATAGGAGTCAAAGACACTTAATATAAAGTGAGACCTATGATACGACCAGGGTACTTGTATCAATCAATCAATCAATCAATCAATCAAATTTACCTGCTCCATTTCGTGTTCTTTCAGCATGACTGTTTCAGGAGACACACATGGGATCCTTGGAATAGCAGGGGAATGATTCCTAAAAAAACACAAGTTAGAAATAAGTCTGACACAAAGGAGTCTGTAAATGACAGTTCTCCGCTCCCCTCATAATTCATCTCAGTGGCCTTTCCTCAGTTTGGGCTCTACTCTTTTCTATTCAAACTAGTTTAAAACATCCTAGGTCATTTCTTCCACCAACTCTCCTCTACTTGATTATACACGTGTCTCGTCTTGTTCAATCTGAATCATCTTCATCATCATCACTGCAACTCTCCCTCGTACTCTAGAACATTCTTGGGGGAAAGGAAATCCTCATCATGGTCCTTTATGTCCTCCATCTTCAAATACCTGGCACCCTCGTTCCCCAGCAGCTCCTCGCCTGCCGCGACGAGGGATGAGAAGAGAGAAAAAAAAAAGAAGGGTGTTAAACATGCTGTCAAGAGGATATGAACACTGAATGAATACTGACTGGACAATATGGAAAGAATATCAATGGATTGAGAGCTGCTGAGTGAGTGTAATATGTTATGACAGTAACAAAGAAGTACCATGGTACTAACAAGGTTCTTTTTAAGTACCTGAGTACTATGTGAACACCATGGTAATCATTCAGCACCATGGTATACCAAAGTACAATGGTATAACCATCACTGTACCATGGTACTGCCACAGTACTTTTTTAAAAAGGGAAAGTAATGCAGTACTGTAACCAGATTACTATTTCCTGTAATGAAGTGAGATAATAACTTTCAGTAATCACCATCACAATTACTTTTGTGTCATTACTTGCACTGCATTTACAATTTTAAAGAACAATGATTCATGTAACATTGAACAATAAATGCTGTTTTGAACAAAGTGATTACGATTCCTTTCAATTGGTTGAAAAGCCTGTAAGCTACTTGTGAGCGATGCATGAGCTACACTGTTGCAATTGATCTGACTACTAATACAGAGCTGAAAGGACAATTTGGTATATTTTTGATAGTCCATCTGGTAAAGGTTGTTTAGAAATTAATCAACGTAACGTGATTACTGTTCGAATGTCTTTTGCTGCAATGTAGAAAAAGTAATTAGTATGTATTAACTAATTACTTTTTGCAATAACTTCCCCAACACTGATTGCAAGTGAGTGAGAATGAAGCAAAGGGAAAGATTTGTGATGGACATACTGCAACAAAACATATCAAAGCAAATTAAACCTTTTGTGTGTGTGTGTGTGTTAGCAACATCATATGACCCCTTTAAATTAACTACAAATCAGAGGCACGGATGACCTTCAAAACACAATGCCTCCACTGATATCGTGCTGCTAAATACATAATCATATGTAAACTGTGCTTGTTTTCATAAAAAAGTGAAAAACTGGTGAAGCAGAAAATGACATTTTTTCATTTAATCAGCAAAAAAACAATAAGGTCAAGCAGGCTTCAATGGCAATTTAAAGTTAAATTTAAATTATTTCATATTGTACCTATATATGCATATATATATATATACCGGTATATATATATATATATATATATAGGTACAATATGAAATAATTTAAATTTAACTTTAAATTGCCATTGAAGCCTGCTTGACCTTATTGTTTTTTTGCTGATTAAATGAAAAAATGTCATTTTCTGCTTCACCAGTTTTTCACTTTTTTATGAAAACAAGCACAGTTTACATATGATTATGTATTTAGCAGCACGATATATATATATATATATATATATATATATATATATATATAGCAAATGTATATACTCAATATACCATATATACTGAAAGATTAAACTTAAATTTCAGCATTGGATTTGCACAAGGCAGCCATATGATGCACATCCTTGTGAGAGTCTGGATGCATGTGAAACATCTTCAGGACATTATGTAAACACACCTGTAATATCTGTAATCACACCAGGAGCTGAAATACTGATTTTATATGATGCATTGATTCTACAACACACCCTTAAAAAAAGGTGAGACGCTTTGTACATCGCTGATTTTGCAAGTAATAATTCTGAAGAAATTAACAAATGCACAAATATTATATAGTAAGGTTATATTTATAAGTTCTTAATCAGTGTTTTGGTCTTGTAAATTCATTTCATAAACAAAACTGCACAAGATAACACTTTAAGGGACTATATCTGTAGTTAAATTAGTTTCTCACAACCTATTAGGCACCAATGATTTACCAGTGGGGACAGAAAAAGACATTTAATTGAAGATATTCTCTGTATACTTTGTACATCGCTGATTTTGCAATTCACAATTCTGAAGAAATTAACAAATGCACAAATATTATATAGTAAGGTTATATTTACAAGTTCTTAATCAGTGTTTTGGTCTTGTAAATTTATTTCATAAACAAAACTGCACAAGATAACACTTTAAGGGACTATATCTGTAGTTAAATTAGTTTCTCACAACCTATTGGGTACAAATGATTTACCAGTGGGGACAGAAAAACACATTTAATTGAAGATATTCTCTGTATGTCTTAACATATCATGCAAGTAACTAAAGTTACCGGACAATAAAACAAAGACACTACATATTTAAAATGTAAAATAATATCAAAACATTTTTTTTTTCTAATATTGATCATGAACCACCACTTTTTGTTCCTGGCCCACTGGAATTTCAATGATGCAAGTTTGCAAGTTTACATTTATACCATAGTGCATGATAACGGTTTCACTGAGAGAACTAAAAAGGAGATGTAGCAGGTTAGTGGGAGCGTTAAGTGCTATGGAACAGTTAGATACCTTCAGGAATAAAAGCAGGCTCATTAACATCAATGCACACATGCTAATGACACATCCATCATAATTTCAAAGTGCACCAGAGAATGACAATGTGTTTGTGTGCGTGCATGTGTGCTTGTAATGAAGTCAGCGACGATGGCCACCGCACGAAGAAGAAAGAGGGAAATTCATACCTAACGTTAGCTGTGCAATTCCTAGAAAAACCAAGAGCAGGATGCTCTTTAAATGCCCACTCATTTAAAGAAAGTAATTTATTCTATGTCTTGTTTTTCCAAATGGAAATTACGCTAAAGCTCTAAAACAGACATAAGCAGAGAGCTGGATTTACCTTCATCTTCAGACACATCCAAGATCTCATCAACTGTCTCTGGGAAACTCATGCGATGTTTTTCGGTGGTGGTCTTAAAGGAAAAAGGTTATTGCAACACATGACTTCTTACATTTAGTCTTTATTTAGTTTATATAGTCATAGTATGACAAGCTGCAACTCACCATGGAAACGGTTTCTTCGGTGACCAGTTTGAGCACATCAATGACTGAGATGTATCCAAGGCGCTTTGCGATGGCAAGAGCTGATGTGCCATTCTGTAGGAGACGGAAATGTTCATTTGTCAACGTCCGACATATTTTAAAATGATGGCAATCAGTTAAAAGAGGCCAGGCTCTTACAGACGTAATTTCATTTGGTTGTGCGCCATGTTTCAGGAGAAGTGTCACAATGTCCGTATGGCCCTGCTGAGCAGCCTGATGTAGCGGTGTATATCCCATCTAATAGTCCCAAAAAGAGGACAGATTCAAAGTCAGAGCTCATATGAAAGAAAAATCACTCTTTAACATGGCAGCTGTTTCTCTTAGACTGCAAGCAGATGAAATGAAGAGCGAATCAACACTCTTGCTTCTCACATTTTTCTTCTGAGACAAAGTAACCTTACATGTGTCTCCTCAAGAGTTTCAGATCTTAACAGTCACAAACTAATTGAGTCCTATTCTAAGGAATTGGAATCCAAGGAAGAACATCTAAGACAAAGATGAAAGTTTGAAAAATGAAACCACTTACAAAGCTGATCAAAGCAAAACCATTATTTCATTTACCCTGGTCTTGCAGTTTACATTGGCCTGCTGCTGTAAGAGGAATTTAACCATCTTGATATTGCCGTAATGACAAGCCACATGAAGTGGAGTGTAACCAATCTGAAGAGAAATCAACAATGACAATCATAATCACCATTATCAATAATAATATGAATCATTATGTAGAAAAGCAACATATTGCACTGTGAGAGATGTGAGTTTTCACCCGTGTGGCAGCGTAGACGGACGCCCCATGTTTCACTAGTATATCAGCAATGCCAACATGCCCCTCCTGAGCCACGAGGTGAAGAGGAGTCAGACCACTCTGAGGACAGACAAGACATGCATGTCATTATATGGACATAAAGCAAGATATTGCATGTTATTCACAATGTGTGTGTGTGTGTGTAATGTTGAGAGATCAATGTAAACAGGTAAACATGGTCAGCTTGAAAAGAGGTGTTCATGTTTGTTCAACTTAACTAATGCAAAAATTAAGCTATTAAGGTATTAATATATGCAAAAGTTCATATTAACAAAAATGAACTCTAAGCTGATCTCGTTTATTGTTAGTTTGTGGTAAATAATGCATTAACTACTTTAAGATATTAATGTTAAGAAATGCATTAGTATACAGTATGTGCAAGTTAACATTAACATTTCAAATGCATGAACTAATGTTAACAAATACAATCTTACTGTTGTATACTTTTGTATAAGTGTTACTATGACATCATTGTAATATCTGCATACTGATGTGAGATGTTCTCTCATGTATTTTTTAAATGAACTGGCATTTTCTTTTTAAGCTATCGTAGGGAGGTGTATTCAAGGACATAGCAGCAATTTGTTTTTGCTCTTTTCATCACTGAAACTGCTTCTGGAAGCGGGAAAACTTTGCTTTGAAAAAGGATGCAAAAATTGAAGTACAGTAATCTCACCTTATTGCCCAGATTTACATTGGCCTGCTTTGAGATAAGCAGCAGCACCATGTCTGCTTGGCCCTCCTGGGAGGCTAGGTGTAACGGTGTGACCCCTTGCAATGACTCAGCATTGGCAGAAGCTCCATGCTGCAGTAAACTGCTCGCTGCCTCCACCTGGTTCTGTTTGGAAGCAATGTGGAGCGGAGCATAGCCGTTCTGCGGAGAAAAAAAGAGCAATGGGTTAATGCACTTTGTGGTTCAAAATAATGATTGAGACTGAGAGTGTTTTCAGTGTGTTGAGCAAGGCGATAAATAGTGTCATACCCGAGCGGCACTGTGTGGTGAGCCTCCTTTGCTGAGCAAAAGATTGACCACATCCAGATTGTTATGATGGATGGCCACATGCAACGGTGTGAGTCCAGCCTAGAGGAGAAGACATCTTACTTCACTGTCATCAGTAATAACAGATGAAAATGCAGTAGATATGAATGCTAAAACAATACTACTACCCTTGTAAAACATAAGCGTTTAATTGTATTGCATGTGCACTTCAAATTCTAAAAGTATATTTTTAAAACTGTACTTGCAGGTAATATATTATTAATGAAATAAAAGGCCACTTAAAAAGAGTACTTACAGACAGACACTTTCATGTCTGTTTATTAACCCACTTAAACAGACTTTTAAAAGTGCACTTTGCAATTTTGAGGTCAGTTTTAATCATCTTTTGTTGTGCTTTAAGAAGTACACTTATTTTGATGTGTTGACTAACAAACTAAAGCAGATGTAAAGTATTGATAACAATTTTAACTGTAGTATATTATTTAATATTACATTAATATATTTTAAATGTACTAAATTGCAACTCCATTATTACAAATGTATAATTACAAATATTTAATACTATACTAGTATTTAATATTTCTAATATTTTTAGTATTTGTATTTTTATATTTTATTTATATAAATGTATTATACATTCTATACAAATATAATATAAATACATTTATATTTATTTATATTATATTTGTATTTTTATATTTTATAATTATATTTAGTCATATTTTATACATAATAATACATATTTAGTATATAATAATATACTATTAATAATATAATAGTAATATTTAATACATATTAGTTTCAACAAAAATGACGACAAAAAAATTATAGTATTAGTTTACCATAAATGTTTGTCAGTACAATCAGCAGTACTCTTTAATCGTCTTTCAAACACAATAGAAGTAATTACTAAATTGCACATGTACTTAAGAGGTTTAAAAAGCACTCAGCTGAACAAAAGTTCAGCTAACTGCATGTAATATAAATGTAAACTTTAATACATTTTCATTTCATTGCAATTAACATTGAATTAATTGTCTAAAAACTACATTCATTTCGCTCTTAAGTATTATTTGCATAATAAGTACTCTTTTAAAAGTATGCTAAAGTGTACTTAGATCATTTGGACATTTTAAGATCAACGGTTTCAAAATCAACCAACAGCCTCGTCCATGGACAAGGGATAGACGTAAAGTTTTGAAGTAAGTATAGTAATATGTTACATGTTAAACTGTAATTAGATTATAGTTGCTGACTTCATTTCAATTACTTGGTTGTGTCTGTTTAAACGTATGTCGACACACGAGCCATTTTGGTCAGCCACTAATGCTATCTCATAAGGTCTCATCAAACAGAAGAGCATTCTATAAACACATGCATGCGTGCAGCTGATTCATACTTTGCCTGCTGCATTTGGGTTGGCTCCTCTCTCCAAAAGCAGCACTGCTACATCCACCTTCCCGTATTTGGCTGCTACATGAAGAGGAGTGAAGCCTTTCTGCATGGCACCAATCAAACAGCATTAAGGTTTCAAGAGAGAGTTTTATACAGTTAACCATTTGAATACAGCAGGCTGGTGATCTTGGTCTTGGGCCGCACAGTACCTTGGTCATTTTGGTGAGCTGGGCGTTCATGTCCAGTAGGGTGCTGGCAGTCTGTGTGTGTCCCTCGCGGGAAGAGATGTGCAGTGGAGTGTGTCCTGCTGTTGTGGTGGAGTTAGGGTTTGCCTTGTGCTCCAACAGCAGCTTCACCATCTCGTTGTGGCCCATGCGGGCGGCACAGTGTAGCGGCGTCTGGTCATCCTGATGGAGATGAAGGTTGATATCACGCTTTCCATAAGTGATGCTTTTTTAACAAATAACAGCGGCACTGAAACAAATGACACTTTTGACCAACTTAAAAAAAAAAAATCTTCTTACAAATCTTCTTACAGACAAATGTATTTGTTTTTCTAAATTTCTATTTCAAAGTTGGTTCAAACATTACATTGTGATTTAATAATAATAATCAAACGTTTTATTTTCCCAATGACAAAAACATTCACACAAAATAAAAAGATTTCTGTCATGACAACTCTCGGAGGGATTGGCATGGTAATGTACATGACAATGTTAATGTATTTGGTCTTGGCGGAATAGATCTGCTATGCTGCTGCGGCAGAGCAAGTACCAAGACTTGCTACCGCCAATACATCCACAACATGCTGCAGTGAGCATGTAAGAAATATTGCTGCTGCAAATATAACATACATAAAATAACCCCTCAGATTGAGTTAGACCTATCGGACTGCGCCATCTAGAGTTTCATGCCAGAACTCTGTATTTATCATTATAAAAACCTTGCATCATACTTATACTCTTCTTGCTGCTTTTTCCCTGACACATTTATAATCATTACTTCTGCCGGAGCACTGTGGAAAGTTTTATGCTTGTGCTTGTGCGCTGAGAGGCTATGGGTAATTAGAGGCTCATTATCATGAATTATATGGTTTATTAATATAAACGTGCGATTAGTCAACTAATTGCTAAAAATTAACGACTACTAGTAGAGTAGAAAAATCTTTAGTCGAGGTAGGGCTGCACGATTATGACAAAAATCATAATTGTCGATTATTCCCTTGAAATTGTAATTGCGATTATTAATTACGATTATAACAATTTACATTGAATGATGTTTATACCATTGTTAGATGCAACTGCATGCCGTATTTTTATATGAAAATAAACAAGCTGAAAACACTTAACTGAAAAACTTTTAGTGCTTTTCTATAGAAATTAAGCCTCAAATGTCAACTAAACATCGGATTGGTTTCTTCTTTAAATGATAAAAAAAAGTTAAAATATGAATGGTATTATAATGTTATACTAAAACCAAAACAATGGAAAAGCCCTTAAGATAACATGTAGAAAGAAAAAAACATATCTTAAGCGTGCAGAATAACATAAGTGGACTTTGAACGATTAATTGCCGCTTTGAATGATTACGTAATTGTGGCATCCATAATTGTAATTGCGATTAGAAATTCGATTAATTGCGCAGCCCTAAGTCGAGGGCAGCCCTAGTCAATATAGCAGTTTTTTGTTTGGCTTTTTACAACTTAATTTCACCATAAACAAAAGCTAAATTAGCTATAATATGAAAACAAAATGTTCACATAAGATAAAACTAAAACATTTTGTTAATCAATGTTTAATTTAGTTTACGTACTATCTAAAACATTTTTATTGTGATGTCTTCTTAAAACATGCGAAAAATACAATTGAAACAAAATTGTTTGTTTTAATTGTATATACTGTATAGGGAGTGCTATTTGCTTTTGGACAAACTGAACAACATAGGTTTCATGGACAATTATAAAAATGCACTTTTAATAAATGACATGGCCATTTCACTTTTTTTCGGTAGACTATTATATTATCTTAATAACATGACTTCTCATTTTCCTTAGCTAAGCCTCAATGAAACCCAATTTTTAAAGAGGAATAAAAGGCAAAATATAAAAAACTAAACTAAACCAAACCAAAATGTAATTAAAGGTCATAAACTGAAATACAACAAAATAGCATAACATGTACTGCACCTTGGCTTTGGCGTCCACTGGAGCTGCGTTTTGCAACAGGAACTCAGCAACTTCACAGTGACCAGCTCGAGATGCCATGTGCAGAGGTGTTTCCACTTTCTACAAATGCACGTTAATGTACAGGTACGTGATCGCATACTATACAAGCACATCTTGCAGTCAAAACATCTTAAATCACAAAAATCTTTGAGGAAAATGTTGCTTTCAAAAGTGAAACTCCATGTTTACGTGGCCTCTCTGTGACATACTTCAGTGTGTAGCTTTAACTGCTGATATTTCTTACCACGTTTGAGGCATGTGGTGAAGCTCCTTTTTGCATCAGTATCTTCACTATATTCAGATGACCCATAAAGGAGGACACATGCAGCGGGGTCAATCCTGACTGTTGGACAGAAAGCATACAGACACAAAGAACTAAACATGTCACAGCCTGAAATTATGGCTGCATGAAATGCTTTCAAAGATCTCTAGTATACTAGACCCTGCTCTAATCAAATAGTTTATGCTACTTTAAAGGCAAATCTGATCAAATTTGATCCACATGAGTCCAGTTCATCAATTAACATATTATGAAGTCGCTCTCATATCAAAGTCCACTGACATGTTTGTTTAGAACTGTTTTGGCTTGTAAACAGTGCTCGATCTGTGGATATCACTCTCCTGATTCAGGGAAAGCAATATTATGTGTATAGATGCCTTGTATTTTAGCTGGAAGTGATGGTTTGAAGTTAAAAACGTCTTGATGGACTTGTTTCTTACAAACATGCAGCTTTTGGATTCTCCAGATGTTAACTTATGGACTGGAGTGGTGTTGCTTGTGGATTATTGTGATGCTTTTATCAGCTGTTTGGACTCTCATTCTGACGGCACCCATTCACTGCAGAGCATCCATTGCTGAGACACTGATGCAATGCTACATTTCTCCAAACCTGATGAAGAAACAAACTCATCTACGTCTTCTTTTTTATTGAAATGCATTCCCAATCTTTTAAATGAGCACCGTATCTCTTCTATGTTTTGGGACACTTTGATTGTGAATTTGTTTCTTGTTTCCTGTCTTAAGTGTCCTTTTCTCCAAAGAGGTCTGTAATATCTGGAGAAAACTCAATGGCAGTTGTTGTTCTTGACTATAAATTTCAGGAGCGACAGGTAAATAATGTCATGATAACACTGATGTGCTGGTGGCTGATGGGATGACAAGAACCTGCACGGGATAGATAAAATAGTTTAATAAAAAATTTGCGATTTAGCGTATATTTTCCATGCAAAACATTTATTTTCGTACAATATATTAGTTTTGAATGGACGACGGTGGGAAAAAAAAAGTTTTTTGGAAGCATATTGGTGTACTTCATCTATCAGAGACTAACTGAACTATGCTATGGGTTGTCCTTTAATTGTTTAACACTGTCAATGTAAGACGTTTTTGTTTCCTCCATAAATCCCTATATTCCTTGTTCTCTCTTGTTTGATTTTTTTTTTTGTAAATTAAAAAACAGAAATTCAAGATACAATGTCAAATTCATAATAAAAGTCCCCCCAACACACCAAACAAATACAGTGACTCTTAAAGATCAGTGAAATACATTACAATAATACTGAAGAGAATTTAAGTTCCCTTTCAGTCGGTCACTCTCGACGTCACGTCGGATGACCGACGAATTGGGATCTCGCTTAGAGAGACCAATCCACTTCGAGTGTAAACTAAAAATATAATGCAATGTTATTTATATTACACAGTGATCCTGTGGCTCACCTCTGTTACAGCCTCCAGGGATGCAGAATGCTTTAATAGCAGGTCCATTACACGCATGTGGTTCTTCTTACAGGCAATATGGAGTGGTGTGAAGCCATTCTAGGCATGTCAAGAGTGGAGAGATATTTCTATGTAAGTGAACAGATTCTGCCCATTTTAAAACAACAGGGTAAACATTATCACGTGCATTAGTTGAGCCACGTGTGTCTTTTAAATGTGTACTAACCAGAGCACGGGTGTTTGGTTTGGCTCCTTTATCCAGGAGAACCTTGGCCATGCGATGATGTCCACAGTGTGCCGCCACATGCAGTGGGGTCAGGTGGTCTAGAGTGATGTCATCAATCTCGGCATTGTACTGTAATAGCTGTCTGATACAGTCCAAATGATCACCCTGGGCTGCCATATGTATTGGAGACAGGCCATTCTGTGCAGTGAACATATGGGAACATTTAGAGCTGACAATGGCATTTTCTTTCTTTCTTTCTTTCTTTTTTTTTCAACTTTTCATTTGTATTACGTGTGACATTTTTTGTTTGTCTTAAGGTTATTGAATATATTACTACATTTAAGATTTATGCATTATTTTATTTGAATTACATTTAAAATTTACATCCATTTAGATTACACAGTTTAAAATAAGCAACTTAATGTAATGCATATTTGTCAATCATGCATAAATGAAAGGGGTCAGATTTCTGTAAAAGTACTAATAAACTGAGCGTGTTTTAATTTACATTAACCAGGTTTATATATGTATTGTCAATAATTACATTTTCAGTCAAATATTTGAATTAATTTAATATTGATTGTTCCACAGCTAGCAATATTTTAACCATGTTCATACAACTGAATACATTTAGTTATATTATATTTATATACATTTATAATTTAGTATAAATATATTTATACTGACTCAAGTAACTTTGCATTTTGAAAACATGATCATTAAAATTGACCAATTTCTTACCTGTTTCATTTATGTACATTTTGAGTCTATGACGGACAAATATGCATCACATTGAGTTTATTAGTTTTCATTCATTCATTTTTTTTTTTTTTAAGTGGATTCTTGTTTTTAATTAATGCATTTGTTTACATTTGCACTGCTGACACAATATATTGGGAACCACAGTGTCAATAATAAGAAAAAAGTTATAAAACTTTTTTTGATCTTCAGAGCAAATATTTAGTCAAGATATGTGACACCTTAAATAGTTTTTTCTAATTTGAAACATTACTTTTTAGAAGATAAAAATTTAATAAAACATAAAAATAGCATTTTTTTGGGGGGTGGGGGGGTTCTTGCATAACCTCATAAGAACAATAGCTTGACCTTTGTTAATGTCATTGAAGTGAACCAAATCACAGAGATTAATACACTATTAAATTCTTCTTCACCTTGCCGATGCCTCGTTTTTTCCCCTTTTATTGTTGCAACTATGAAGCTACTCATTTGTGGCAGATGAAATAAAAATCTGAAGGTCTCCATGTCAATGTTTTTATGGCTATTTGTAATTTGGGTGCACGCCTACCTTGGTCTTGGCCTGTATTGGGGCTCCTTGGTCCAGAAGGATCTCGATTATTCTCACATGGCCATTTCTGGCAGCACAGTGAAGAGGAGTCAACTCATCCTGTGTTAAAAAAGGGAAGAAGAACAAATGTGCATACAAATTCTCTGTCATTCTCTGTCTCTGGAGTTTAGAATTGTAGCTTTTTTAACATACTTTTGTCTTGGCATCAATCTTTGCTCCTCGGTCCAGCAGAAGTCTGACCATGATGACATTTCCCCTCCTGGATGCAATATGTAGAGGCGTGATCCCATTCTGAAAGAAAGCCACACTAGTTTGAACACAACTGTAAACTGACAGAGGATCAGTGTAGAAATATTTAAAAGACAGACCTTGGGTGTGAAGTTCACATCAGCTCCTCTGTTTAGAAGTAGCTGGGAAACATTCAGGTTTTCATAGTGGGCTGCGATATGGAGTGGCGTGAAGCCTGTCTGCAGAGGATCATGGGAAACGGAGTTAGCAACCAGCACACTCTGTCTTGTCTATGTAAAATATAGTTGTTATTCTGACTGCTTCATTATCATTGCAAAAATCAATGAACTGTATACACTACTGTTCAAAAGTTTGGGGTCGGTAAGAAAGGAGTTTTTTCTGCTCGCCAAGGCTGCATTTATTTGATTAAAACACAGTAATATTATGACATATTATTACCACTTAGAATGACTGTGCTCTATTTTATTATATTGTAAAATATAACTTACTCCTGTGATCAAAGCTGAATTGTCAGCATCATTACTCCAGTCTTCAGTGTCACATGATCTTCAGAAATCATTCTAATATGCTGATTTGCTGCTCAAGAAACCTTTCTGATTATTATCAGTGTTCAAAACAGTTGTGCTTCTTCATATTTTTGTGGAATAGAAAGTTCAAAAAGAACAGCATTTATTGAAAACATATATTTTTTTTTACATTATTAATGTCTTTACTGTCGCATTTGATTAATTTGAAGCTACTGTATGTAAGTTTCTTACCTTGAAACATCAATAATTCTGACGGTAAAGTGACTTTTAATAAGGCGAATAAGTTTGATCCGGTGTCGAAATTCCGCAAAAAGGGCGGAATGCTTTACGGCAGGAACCAAATGCACATGTAATTATGACAGTGATGATTACAACTTAACTGTAAGGGGCTCCAAAGTCGCAAAAATACACAAAACTACATACAGTTGCTTTAATATCCCTTACGAAAAAGAAGTTTATTCAAGTGTGCTATTAGTATACTTCTTTTAAACTAAAAAGTCTGCTTTTTATGTACTTCTCAGAAATGTGCTTTATGTACTTCTCAGAAATATACTTAAAATGACATTCAAGTATACTTATATTTAAATATAATTGAGCTATAGCTACTTGTGCTCCGGGAATCCATGTTTTCATTGTTATACGGTAGGGGGCGCTATTACACATCTTCTGTACAGAAACAAGCGAAGAAGAAACCGAAACAACAGATGCTTCCACGTGTAATCTAACACGATCATCAGACATAAAACAGCATCAAAACTGTGTAACGTTATGGAATAAAATGTCGACTCCATGTACGTTTTGATTATCATTCTGAATTCAATTCAGTCTTTTTTCAGCTTTTTGTTCAAAATGTTGTTTATTTATTCCTTTATTTTTTATTTATGAAACTTACCCACATTCAAGTGTTTACAAAAAAGAATGCATGACGGTAGAATAAAATGTTTTTGTTTACAAGCAGATACCCTGTTCTTTCTTTTGATGTTTGTATGTTCAGATATTTATATAACAATATATATATACAAATTAATACCTAAATAGGGACATAGTAGTATACTTAAAGTATGATGTAAAGTTCACTTAAAGAAAACTTACGAGTATACTTGCAGTATAAAACTACTAAACTAGTAGTTTACTGAGACTATACTTCAAAGTGTACTAAAAATGCTACTACAAGTATTTAATTAGTAAACTATCAGTATACCCATAAGTTCACTTTTAGTATAGTTGCACTACAAGCTAAAAATATTTATGTAAACTAGTTGTGTACTCAAAGTTTACTACTGTTATACTTAAAGAATACTTAAAAGTATACTTTTATATACTAGAAAGTGGGCCAATTTAGTCCCAAGGAGTATTGAAAGAATACAGTGAAACTAGTACACTGATATTTGTATACTTACTACATTAAAATACTTAACTTGAAGTATACTTCTTTTTGGTAACCTTGCTGAATAAAAGTTTTAATAAAAAATAAAAAAAATAAATA